TTCCAAGAGAACGGCTCTCGAAAGACTGACCTCTGAAACAATAATACATTCTTTGTATACCACTGAGTACCCCCTCCCCCCCGCTCGAGTACTCCTTGGCAAAAGCGATGCCCCCCTACGACAGGTTTGTCAATTACAACTCGTACAGGGTTCGTCAACGATGCTCTGGAGTAACGATGCAGGCTGATCGGTGCGCGGCAATTCTTCGCATTTCAGGATATCGTTGACGCACCCTGTAATGCTCCTAAAGCCTACGTTTCATTAGCACAGCAGGGCTCTAAGTGCGTCTCTCTCGCACACATACGGATTAATACACTTTTTCTACCACCTGTAACTATACTACCTATAACTTTTTTGAAATGATTCAATCTTTAGTCTAAATAAAAATGATTCAATAATAGGCTTTTTCAATAGTTCTCGAGGAGTTCTACAGTTCCTGATAGGTTTTAACAATAGTTCTGCTACGTAACATCGTTAAAATACCTATTAAGGATACTAGTCGCACCATATGTTTCAGTGCAGGTATGCATAAGGAGCTGGCTTTCAGTGTTGTTTTCAGGTTGTGTTTCAAACAGTTCCGGAATAGTTCTTTCTAATTGTCAATGTTGGGACCATAGTTCTGCCTGGAACTATTGTTAAACAATGCTGGAATCTAGCACCGCATCGCTGCACTCCTTAACGCAAGCAAGCATCAGGTGCTGGCTTTTGTCTTATTAAATCTTATCGAGCTTACACTGGGCACTCGAATTTAAGATTACAAAAAGAAATATTTTGGCAATATCTGGTGAGCGGCCGCGTTCTAAGGGTTGCTCTGGGAACCAGCGGTAAGTTGTGGAGAACCTCTGCCTGCTATACCCGTTTGCCTCTGCCTGCCTGCCTATGCGTTCGTGATCACGTTCAGCTCGGCTACAACAGGACATGCATTATCGACGGAGGCGATGATCACAAAATCCTACTCCCGGACTCGCCGTTACGATTTAGCGCCATGTTTTTAGTATCGTCTAAAACCGAAGCGTTGTGCATCTCCCCACTCATCTCTGGTAAAATTGACAGGAAATGACAGTCATGAGTGTTATAAGTTCTATAATTTTGTATAATTTTTGTATTTTCCCTAGAACTCGTTGGTAGCATTGTATACCTATAATTTACCAGTTTAAAGGTACGGGAGGTGTGTTTTGTTCAAAGGTGTAAGCAAAAGAAAAATTTTAACAATAACATTTTTATAAAATAAAATGGATTACAAAGAGGAGCAAAATAATGAGATTGAAGCTCTCGAGTCGATATACTGTGGAGAATTAGAAAGTTAGTACAACTATTAATTTAATTTTGACATAACCTTTATATTTTATGCAAATGTTCATTTCGCATTAGTGTAACACATGGTTTCATATTTTTTTTATTTGAATTTTGTGGAGAACTAAGCACTTCCGCATACTAATTCAATTTTTTAAAATCTTTTTTGTAGACCCATTGTTATAATGTTATTTTGAAAATGTGACATGTCAATTATCATCCTGTAAAAGCAGTTTTATGTTATAATATTTTAATTATTTAGTCTATTTGAATAAATGTTTTATTATTCCTTTGCAGTCTTAACAACAGAGCCATTCCATAAATTTGCAATACCAATAAAATCAGAGGAGTACGAACCAGAAACTATAAATGGTCTGGCTTGTAGATTGGAATTTGTGTATACATCTAAATATCCTGATGAACCTCTAAATATATTCATAGAGGAACAAGAGAATTTCGAAGAAGGTGATGAGAAAAAATTAAAGGATCATCTTGCTGAACAAATTAATGAAAACTTAGGCATGGTTATGGTATTCACATTGGTTAGCGCAGCTCAGGAGTGGCTAAATGTACAATGGGACAGAGTAAAATTACAAAGAGAAGAGAAAGCTGCACGTAAATTGAGAGAAGAAGAAGAAGCAGAATTGGTAAACCTACTACCATTATTTTATAGCATTGCATATATTATGTGCATAGTCTGCTTAAATATATATTATTCCATTACAGAAAAGATTCGAAGGCACAAGGGTTACAGTAGAAACATTTTTAAGTTGGAAAGAGAAGTTTGATGAGCAGATGGGTCACACAAAGCGGAGAGAAATAGCAGAGAAAGAAGGAAAGAAATTAACGGGGAGAGAACTCTTTATGACAGATAAAACATTGGATCAATCTGATCTCAAATTCTTGGAGGATGGTATGTGTTAGTTAGCTTTATTCCTGTGATTGTCCTTCCACAGCTTACATTATTTTTAACTTCGATAGGTGATCCTGTAAAGGTTGATGAGAGTTTATTTCAACACCTGGATGACTTGGACTTGGATGATGAAGATGATGAAGATGATATAGACTTTGATCCAAATAATATTTCTGATGACAGTGCCTAATAAACACTAAAATTAAATGGTTCCTGTGTTATCTGTGAAATGGTTCAAAGTATTTGCATCGATCATGAGAACTTTACAGTCGACAATTGTATATTGAAAATCATACAGATTGTTCAATTAAACTTATATTAAGGTACAGTGCAGCGCTTTCGCTCGGTATGAAAATGCCACGTTGCTGCATCGGTAGTTAATAATTTACGCTAGTTCAATCAGAAAGTTGAAGAATGAAAGAATGTGATCACGGCGTGCGTCTCAAGTGTTTTTATATTTCTGTACATAGCTGAGAATATTACGTTCATAAAGCTTTGTTTAACGAAATACACAATGTTCAGAAAATTGGTGTATCCATTTGTTATCGATTTAAACTATATTACCAGTCATCACGAAACTCACCATAAAAAGCCACCGCCAGCTCTTATTAACCATCGCAAGATGTTAAAGCAATAAATACAATATCGAGAAGGAATGGAATAGGAATTCTCAATAAATCAAACCTCAGTAAATTATGTTCAATATTCATTTTGAACGGTATAACATTTATTTAGAAGTTTAGCAACAAACTTTCTAATCAACGAACTGTATTCGGTGACATTCCACGTACTTTCATATGGCGTACCGATATTAACACGATCAATCGATCTGTACTGCATTTCAAAGAAAAAAAGTAAGTGAAACCTTTCATCGTGTCTGACATGGCAGTAAATTCAAGTCAATTCGATGTGTTCGGTTATTCCTTATTATTTGATTAGATAATAGGAACAATTTGATAGATTTTTCAGTACAGTTTGTGTTTTGATATCACTTTACTTACTACAGTACAGGGATGCGCTTCGACAATACGTACAAAAAATACTGCTGTTACAATACTCCAATGACAAACTGCCAACCCTTCGTCGCATTTACCAAATAACATTTATAGAAAATAATACGTTGTTCATACTGTTCGTGTAGTTTCTATGAACAGGGCACAATAATTCATTCTTTTTCTAGATACCGAGTCATTCTAAAAGTCCTAAAATGATTTTGCGAGGAATAATGCCAAATAATACATTAAACTCTCTACGTACCCTATATAACTTTCCTTTCATAAATAATATGATAATAAACGTTGCCGAAATATGATACATTTTAGGGTAAATGCTCGATCTTTATGCACAATCATTAATTGCAACTCGTACTGTATGCAGTCCTGCGAATGGATGAAGAACGTGATGGATGTAGATTTTGAAAATAAATTAATTAATCGTATCTTTTAGCATTACGACTATCATTAAATTATATAACACGTGTGTGTGTGTGTGTGTGTATATATATGAGGCGGAGCACCAGGCTCGCACGATTCAGCTCATTTGGATGAAATTACATAGGCAGTACTTTAAATTAACAATAAATAAGTACAGTATCGATACGCGATCTTGATAAGACTTACATTGTAGCTAGATATTTATTTCTATCGCGTGGCTTAATCGTATTATCTCTTTTTTCCCCAAACATTGCAATTTTCAACCCACGAATTTAGTCTAATTAACGTGTGCGTGAGTGGTCGTCTTGTCTTTTAGAATCGCCAACACGTAATAATCTGTTGGGAGAAGAACACGGTTAGTGATAACTCTATAACATTGTTATTGTTGACGGTCTGACTAATTGTAAGACGGTTAATTGAATTGTTTTCAATTAAAAACTTCACGTTTATAGAAGAAGTGTAACAGATTTTTATATTTTTGAAAGATTCTTTAGAATCTTGTTCGAAAATTGATTTTTTGGCCAGACCGTCATAACATTAAATTGTCAAACTTGTTTCGCACTTGAAACGATAGACATTTCAAACGAGTTATATAAATTATGTGGTTTATCTTAATGAGTTCTCAAACATTACCCTGTTGCATGCAAGACCCGGGGATTTCATTATTAATTTAGCAATGATTGTCGATATATCATTTTCGAGGAAAACTCACAAATTGGTTTACACTTTAAAATAATTTAATATTATACGTGTTCCTCAAATTAAAAATTCTTTCTCAATGGATCATTTGAAATATACGCATTATTTATGGTAGAGGCTTCTAATAAAAAAAAAAGATAGAAAAGAAACAGATAAAAATAATCAATAATATTTATAGAAAATATTGCAAAGTAAAGTATTACGTGGGTTGGGACAAAGCATGCATGTAATACCATGTTTCTGGAGTTTAGGATTGTTTCAACTGGATATATTAATTTTTGAAGTTTTAAGTTTACTTTTGTTGGATAGGATATAGTATTTAGGATATTCCATGGGTGTAGTATAGACCTGTCAGAAGGCGCCTCGCTACCCTGTCGAATAGCCTGAACAGTGGAAGCGCAATGTCTTGTAGAAATGGTAGACACCGCCAAAGCATTGTCGTAATTTGAAATACCTGTGAAGGCCAAACTTCGCGCTTACGGATAAAATCCGTTAATGCGTAGAGAAATAATTGACAATGAAAATTTTGTACGATAAAATATTCCCTGTTGCACAGGTTCGGTTCCTGTTATTAGCCTTTAGCCTATTCTCTTGCAAGTGTCAAGTAAAATCGAAGCAATCAATTTGTACTTAAAAGCACTTTAACAATTTTGCCACATGGTATAAGATATGAAAAATATAAATTATTCTTTTATACTCTTTTTCTTTCTTCTTATCTAAACGCTCGAATCCATCGACTACGTATGAATAGGTGATTTCGTACTCTGTAATACGTATTATTCCCGCTACTTATGAGCCGCGAATAATCTTTATATAAATTAGAAGCACAGTCAGAGATGAATTTCTTATATCTAATTGATCGCGAATCTCAATCGCGACTGTATTTGCCAATGAATTTTGTATGGCGAAACACCTATCGTTAAGTGTAAGAATTATACTAAAGGGATTACCAGCCGGTGAATTTCATTACAGGTGTTTCAAATCATGACGGATTCGTAAAGTGGTTCTGAAAAAAGATTAGTTAAGCTTGAGCAATTTTGCGATAATTTTATTCGTACACGGCAAACCTTGCAAATAGCGTCCCGTTTGTACGAATTGCGGGAATTAATAGTATTATAAGTAATTGAGTAATGGGATGAAGGGATGACGTCATCGTGGAACATTGGTAGCATGGAGCAACGTGTGACGAGGAGGACATTCAATTGAAATAACGAAAATAAGTGTTGCATAAGGAATGAGAATTTTTAAGAAAGCGATAACTTGCTAACGAAAGAAATGCTAAAGAATGGCATGCTGTCTGTGTTCTGCTAATAATATGTCTGCAATGCAATGACAGTCGTGTAACAGGAATCGACTGACGTGCATAAATGATTAACCAAAAGAAAAAAAAAAAAAGAAAAAGAACATAGAAGGCCCCATAAATACCATTATCGAATTAGAATCTAAGCAATGATACAATCTCTAATACTGCTGATGATCTAATCGTAGTTACAATTAAAATAACGTAAAAACGCGCCTACTTAATGTACCAACGTCCCACTAATCAAAAAACATAAGTTCTAATAGTATAAGGGAATCATATTCAACGATGAGTTTTACTTACTGTTCTGGAAGAACACGAGGCTTCGCAGAATCGCCTGGCCAATCATAGAGATTTGGCAGTGGACTGCCATAATTAGCATCATACATTTTGCTCATGATAAACTGCCTTTTGTCCTTTGGCTCCGGATACTCGCTGGCTAAGCCATCTGTCGAAAGAGTCATGAATCAGGATGTCAAGAGGATGAAGAAAAACTTCGATGAAACTGTGTCAAATTACATCCTGGCTCGAATTCAAATTATGTATATCAGGCAGACGCCATTAACTTACTTTGTTTGTAAGCATAATCGGCGATTCTGCAGGCGATGTCGATGGAGCATTCGCGAATAATGTTCAGTGGCGGATACACACTACCGCGATCAAGATCTTCATCCATAACATGATCTGCAACAGCCTGGGCTGATATCAGGAAGAGTTCTTCAGTGATATGGTGGCAACCGGTACCGATAACGCCTAACGCGATACCCGGGAAGATGTATGCGTTATTTCCTTGTCCTGGTCTAAACGTTTTTCCATTATAATGAACGTCGCCGAACGGGGAACCGGATGAGAAGATACATCTGCCCTGAAGGTATATGATTGATGACATTAAAAGAGGAGATATTATTTTGATTAGCTTTAAGGACAAAATCATTCAATTTACGTCGGTGTGATCGTATGCCTGTTGGGCAGTACATTCAGCCTTGCTTGTAGGATTACTCAAAGCAAAGATCAAAGGTCTTTCGTTGTTCTTTGCCATCTCCTTCAGAACTTCCGGTGTGAAAGCTCCTGCAGCTGCTGATGCTCCTGTAGGAATATTTTGACTTTAGAAAGAAATCACTGATTATTGAAGTGTCGAGGGAGACTTACCAATCAGCACTGTAGGCTTTATTTCTCTGACAACATCGATAAGATTCTTCATGACTTTGTGATCCTTTGCGTACCAGACTTTGTGACCTTCTAAATGACCTTCTGGACGATTCTTTACAAGGAGACCATCGATATCCATCATCCAGATATTATCTCTTGCCTGTTGTTCGGTACAGCCATCAGCTTCCAATGCTTTAACACAGAGATCTGCTATTCCAATAGCAGCCTATTTTTAAAATAAAAGGATATTAAACGTAAAATACATGAACAAAGAGGTAATAGAAATTATTTTTATAGAGCACATACTTCTCCAGCTCCCAAGAAGACAAACTTATTATCGGACATTTTCCTCTTAGTGATTCTCTTAGAAGCAAGGATACCTGCTACAGCGACAGCAGCAGTACCTTGAATATCATCATTAAAAGTACAGTATTTGTCACGATACTTATCAAGAAAACGGAAAGCATTGTGATTTCCAAAGTCTTCGAACTAGAAGCATAAAGGTATCAAAATCATTATACACACTCCCACAGCCTAACCACATAAATAAATCCTTCCTATAATAGTAAAAACTTAATTAAAATCTTACTTGGATAAGAACATTCTGCCCATATTTCTTGACACAGGCAGCCATGAACTCATCGATAAGCTCATCGTACTCAGCACCCTGACTCCTAGGCTTGTTCAAACCAATGTAATGTGGGTCGTTCCTGAGTGTCTCGTTGTTGGTACCAACATCAATAGTAATTGGTAAACACTGATGAGGCTTAATGCCAGCTAAAGCAGTGTAAAGGGCCAGTTTCCCAACAGGAATTCCCATGCCGCAAGCTCCAAGATCGCCGAGACCCAAAATACGTTCACCATCCGTCACACAGATGGCACGTACAGCTTGTTCCGGCCTTGCGAGTGTGGTATAGGAAAACGCAAGGTAGAGTGGTAGCTACTTTTTCGATTTCACAGTGGATCTTTCGTGGGTACTAACCAATTATTAAGGATTTCATAAATGTGGCCCTTGTCGTATATGGTAATAAAGAGACCACGCGGCCTTCGATAGATGACACCGAACTTCTGACAGGCAAGTCCTACTGTGGGCGTGTAGACGATCGGCATCATTTGCTCGATGTTCTCGCTCAGCAGACGGAAGAACAACCGTTCGTTTCTTTCCTGCCGTCGAACAATCCAGTTACCTAACGATACGTATTCGCTTGCGTTTCCCGAGTCGCGTCACGTTAACGTGTCGAAGGAAACTTTGTACTTTTTTTTTTTTTGGTTTTGGCAGACACGTGTTACCTGAAGTTCCACGAGGTAGAGATATCGGTTCAGATCTTCTGTGTATTTCATGACGGATGCTTTGCAGAGAGCCAGCTGTTCCTCTTGCGTCTTAAATCTAGGTGGTTGAAGCCCATGAATTCCAAGGGAGATCCGTTCATGTAACGTAAAGGCCAGACCCTGCAAAAAATAGTGCATTAGGCATTGGAGCACATTCAATTTGTATAATAGATTCATCAATTGGTACCAGTGGATTAGGCAGACCTTGTTCAGTCGTGGATCTCTGAGATGACCGATACCCTTAACCATATTAATGGGTACTACGTCACCGGCTATTTCATGAATCTCCCTTTGCTGAATGTCCTTGAATGCAGGATGTGAAGGAGGTAGCGTCCGCGCCCAGGTCCCGGCTCCATTCCTGCTGCAGGATGGCCTGTGGACAAGAAATTCCCTTAGCTTATTAAGGATCCAGTTCACGTGATGAACACAATTAATGACAAAAGCTACGATTACAATAATTCACATGCATAGTTTCAATTTTTGCTCGTTAGTTGGATATTTAAATGAATAATTCTATAATTTTTTGTTTCAGGTAACCTCCCACGTATTCTCTATTATACCTGCTCATTGTGGATACACGTAAAATTGTAAAAAAAGGTTATCAACTTTTCCTCTGCTTTCAAGAGAAACAAACGACGATGCTAATAACGCCATGAATATCGATCAGTTCCCATATCGGAATATCGAGTATTTGTTTCACGCTTCATGGATCATAGTCATCATTGCGTTACTGTATTTATGATTCTAGACTCTGTTATATAGTACAATGAAAACCAAGGACAGACAGCATAAAGATAAACGGTAGCTCCAAAACCAATAAAAAGAATTAACAAACAGCATTTTCAAATAGTCATAAAAGTTTCTTTGATAAAGCTTGACAATTGTCCAAAAAAATAATTATGTCTCACGAACAATATTAACAACCCACAGGCTATAATTTAGTAAGTCTACAAATTATGAGTCATAAGATTAATTAAAAATTATCGATCTCCATGGAAACTCTCTACTATCTTCACAATTTAATAAAATAGTTGATCAAAATTTATTCATAGTTTCAAATATCATTTTATAACCAGTGTACCAGCGATTACTTCACAAAAACAATTTTCAGTGACAACAATAGATAACGTCTACGTCATTCGCCTGAATTGCTAGTAGCAAACGCACGTGCATACGTGCGTGAGAATTCCCCAGTACACACGTTTTCATCAAATGGATTATAAATGGCCCTCGTGGGTGGCCATTATTAATTCCGGGAACAATCGAGTCAGTGAAAACCAGTAGCAGCTACATAGCTCTAGTCACTCAAGTTTCATTATATGCAATTATCATATTTACGTCATTTAACCACCAATAAAAATAAAAATACATTTCGACATTGTCCATAACTAGCAGCATAAATAAATAGACCTTGGGCGCGCCACCGCGTTAGATTACACATCCACATATGAAAAACGATCCCATACGAAGAACTTGACAACGCTGTAAAAATGTGTAAGTACCGCGAATTCAGTGAAGTTTTATTTACACACCTAACCATATACTCATGTGACATCACATGTGAATTCGTGACTCTAACCAAGCACTCGATTGCTGATCGCCATAGGAACATTGAGAAGAAGTACACTCCCAGTGTATTAGTCATTGAAAAAATAATTTCTTGACTTTGGATTTACTCATTTAACTGTATACTCGCTCGGTCAAGGCATTAACCTCACTTGTCACGTGATCTTTCTTGATACTACGGTTGACGAACCGATTTTATAATTACATTTAAGAGACATCGAAAGTTCGCCAACTGCCAACGCTAACCAATTTGTCGCTACGTGCTCGAATATCACGAGAGCTTCGAATTACTGAACTTGAACGTATTACAATCATGTATTATTTTATAACCGCAAATGATTTCCAACCTTGACGATATCAAGCAGAGATACCGAACTTTATAAGCAACATTGAAGTTGGAAAATCAATGATGTGCCTTGATAAAGAGATAATTAATGATCGACTATACGCAAATTACATATATACCGTGAATACAGCTACGTCAAATAGATTTAAGACAATTTTGTTCCTACAAAAACTTTCTTTCACGGTTACAACAGTTATTGCCGTTCTCATTCGCCACATAAAGATTAATAACTCGACAATTTAACGTGTTCCTTATCACAAGGTTAACTACATCACAATACAATGACTATACCGTATCATCGACTTTTACATAATATACGATCCTAATAAGAATTTACGCTTTATTCACAATGGCTGCGCGAAATACGAAGACGAATAAAACCGCTAAGTAAGCCAGGCTGACATTCATTCTATTTTGGTACAGAGACCGAATCGAGGCACGTCGTCTCTCAGCTGGTCCCAAATGTTCAGGTAGCTAGAACTCGACAGCGTTCACAATTCGTTTCCTTGACATTAGTTTTTACAGTTTACGCAATGCACTTGAGGTTCGCTGGTGCGCGAAGGCAGGACAGTCTATTCTTGCATCGATGGCAGAATGCCAGTCACAAAAAAAAAAATGAAAAGACGGCCAATCTTATGTAGTTGTCATGCATGAATTTTTCTTTAATTTCCTCAGTTTCTTGGACGTGACAGCTGAAGTACACTGACTGACGTGAAAACGATGACAGAGCCTAAAACTAATAACGGCACGTTTAATAATTGATAAAAAAGATGTTAAAAAGGAATTACAAAAGAAATGATACCAACTGTTACGAGACCAAGTGACAATGGTACGGGACCATGGGGAGATCAAGGTTAATTCTTCAAGGATTATTTTTCTTGACTTTTTTTTCGAATTCATGCATCGATTTTCAACGCTGCGATTTACTTAAGCCGGACGCTTTGTGCTTCGATGGTCATCGGCATGGCGACTGATTGCCAGGGTTATGTCATGGGTGTCGTTTAATCGATACTAATGATTCTTGCTCCCCAGTCGATGATTATGAGGACAGGATCATCGTGGAGTGCGGATTAGCCTTGTTCATTGCAATTTCCTCATTCCCTTTGAGCGATTTGATGAGCGTGACGTATTATGGGTATATAGATATACAAGTATATATACTATGAAATGACCTCCATTCATTCTATAAGGTGAGTCAGCTGTTGATTATACAAATAATTATTACAGTATAAATCATTATGCATAATTAAAGTATTAATTATTGAAAATCATTATCAAACGTCTCCAAGTATCTGAGTTCATATTGCAGATGTTAAAAATGATTTTGCATATATTCTTTTTTTTGTCAAACCGGAAGTTGTGTACATTGTTATTCGCTATATCGACTGAGATAAGAAAATTTTGCATGAAAAATATTTAATCAGCGGCTACTGTGTCCCGGTATACTTGAGACTCATGTGCCTGTTGATTATTAAACTTAATGGAATTGTGCAACTTGACACTTACGCAATGACGTTTTGTTTTCAACACAAAAATCAATAATGTCGTATCGATTGTTTTCAAAATACCGATAAGCACTGCTATACGATATATTTTTAGAATTGACATTCCTAGTTATTTTTAATTCACTTGTGCATACGTAGAGATACAAATATATTACTGTTCAAACGTATCGTGAAAATTTTTTCTAAAATCACTGTCGTATGCTATATGGACAGGTGACATTGATTTTGTGAAATTACTTTCAGAAAGATAAGGAAAATAATGAGCAGAACTAATCGAAAAGATAACATTGCCATAGATATTAAAAAAAACCATCTGCCATTCGTTAGATTTCATATTGAACATTTACAATCTATATTGAGCTATCGCGAGGCTTATATTATTATTGTCAATTATATATTTTTGATGTGCATCTTATTATTGGACTTTTTTTGTTAGATACTAATTTTATCAGCTGCTAACCTTGAAAGGGATATAACATTCTTATCGAAGATTCAGTATCAGTTGTATTTTCTCACAGACTGATATTAGGTTTCATCAGGATCCTAGATGAGACATTCAAAGAGTGGTATCCTCGATTTTATCTACTGACACGTTGGGCATATTGCTGATTGATCCAAGGATGGATGGATTACTGATTGATTTAATCACTGGATATGTCAGAAACATACATTTTATGATAATAACGGAAATCGATATTTCCACGTCTGTCAAGTTTAAGTATTGCAGATGATGTTTCATTATATATTTGTGTAAGAATGACGAGTTAATCGAATATAATACTGTGCCGAATTTTAAAATAAATCTTTTTATTAAATTTAGTTATCAATTGATTCTGAGTGTGATAAGATAACACGTATATGGTACAACAGAGTTAAAAATGTTAATGAAAAGCCGAAATACCTCAGAAAATTATTTATTTCTAGAGGGTACACGAGTAGTTGCTTCGATTGTAAAAATCATGCGCGATTTATTGTTGATTATTAAATAAAAGAACTGTCAGAAATTTTCACTCACTAGCGCATCTATGACTGTTTTTTATATGATGATAAATGTGGTAGACACATTTTTACATATTTTATGCGATTGTGATGATTAAAGGTCTACAACAATTGATTATTTAACGTTTGAGATATGTCAACTGGCACGTGGTTTCACGTATGTATATATTGATATTGATCAAATAACGTATGACGTACGCGGGTTGCCGAGCTCGTGCCTAATTTTTGGGCTATGAAAAATAATACAAGACGAGAAACGGACAATTCTCACCTCCAGAACATGTGATAATGTAATATATTTCATAACTGTACTCCACTGACCGAATCAATAATATTAGAAATAGTGAGTAATGCGAAGCAAAGAGAAGCAGTGAGTAATTTTTACGTAATGCATAGTGAAACGGACCTGTCATATCAATAAAAGTAATCGATGTGTATCTTACGTATGATAATGAAATTATTACAGAAGCATTATAAATGAAGACACTACTGTCAGTGGTTAACGAGGAAGTAACAAAAAGAAACAGAACGAATAAAATAATATTCTGATTACGAGCTACTATGAATAAAGTACAGTTTTTCAACTGTTAAATCAGGCATTCGATGAGTAGAGTAAAATTATGACAACGATTTTGTGACGTCAAGCATTTAGAAACTGTCAGAAAGAAACCATGGCTGGACAAAGCATAGATGAAAGTAGGTAAAAAAAAGCTGAAGGATAGGTTGTCCTAGGTTTTCGAGGGTATTGAGCCAGGATGACAGAAATGCCAAAATGGATCATGAGTTTGGCAACGTCCCACAAAACTGTAGCTCAGGTTGGCCTCGTATCGATCGGGGTCTGGTATTCCTATTTCGAGCCCTGCATTGCGGCAATGGGAGGTTACGTGAGTTTTCATGCAGCAAGGTTCGAAATTAGCAAAGGGGTCTAAACAAAGTCTCATGGATTCACCTTTAAGTAGTATACACACACTTTATACACTTATTATAAATAAAAATTTGTACTCACAATATAGATCTCTGTAGAAAGAACATCTCGCTCGCGAACTACCAGCTCGCACCGAAAACCTCCCTCCCACTATCGGATTTGCGCGCGACTGCGCGATTTAACGTCTTTTCGTCTGAGTTTTAGACTACTCGGCTACCACGCCGCCGTCTTCTTTTCAGACTCGATTGTCACCTATGTAGTTGTCAGCCCGTCTGACTGGCACGCTACTCACTATCCTACTCTCTCTCTCCACGAGTTTTGTCAAAGAGTAGGGTCCAGCGTGTGGGAAGAATCGAAGAAGTTCCGAGCGAGCATGCCTCGAGCTCGAAATTCCCGAGAATGTGCGAGAATAGCCGAACGTTGCCGAGGGGGCGCCACGTCCTTGTACCTTCACTTTGAAGCGGCAGGCAGCGGCAGGTGTGAATTAGATTACGGATATGTCTCCGTAGGGAACTTATATAATGGTGAATTCGTATACGTAATTCCTGCTATAATTATTTAACGTTATTTTCTTAACTATATCCACTTTATGGTAAATTATTTACTTTATCTGGCTCGCTTATTGAGTTACTTGTTTTGTTCGAATAACGGCTGTTTTGAAAAGTTTACATGAGGGCGCTGTAACTTTGAATCGAGAGCTTCTGGGTAATTTGGCAGTTGAATTGTTGCGTCTCTTGGAAGCGTCGTGTTTGGTATATTAATTTATGGAAATTTCATTTGTTTGTGATTATTGAAGTGCTAGATTATTTGATACATCCACAAATGCTGTACTACTCTGATTGTATTAAGGTAAAATTGCTTCTGTACTCTCAAAGATATAATCTGTATTGTGTCCGTATGAATTCTAGTTGATGGATCGTGGTCATTTATATATTTTACTGATTGTTTTGTCCTTCCCTTTAATTTACACAATAAATTCATCGAGCCGTCGAAAATCGAGGCTCGGGTCAGTCCGTAAATTGCGTGTCTGAACACGCAAAATCGAAATGTCAATTTTTATAGCAGGTCAGAGAAAGGGTTGAATTATTGTGAAATTATATTGCTCGTGCATTTTTCACGAGTCACCCAGAGCAACCATTCATGCGATCTAATATGAAAATTGTCGTTGCAAATATTCTGCATTATTTTCTCCTTCTCTTTGAAATTGCTTAACGGAAATTTCCGTCTGCATACATAATAGCTAGCTGGATCAATGGTTTTCGTAAAAGGGAAAAAGCAGATGGGATTTCTGAATTCGTACGGTTAATTTTATTAGTATGCTAGTGATGATTGTATTACATTTGAGTAACTTATGAGATGATTAGGCAAGAGCCTCAAAACTGAATAAGAAAATACATCCGCGAAAAGCGGATATCGCAGTTCGTGAATCGATCAAGAAATCTGATTGTTCGCGTGACGACTGCGATGCTTTCAGATACTTTTTGACCGCGAGGGAAAGTCTGGGGCGTCCCGGACGCAACTTTGAAAACTTAAAGGCACCATTAAAACACGGTACAGCGATTAAGTTTTCAGGGCTCAGGAACTTGCAACTGGGTCGCCCCTAATTCTTTACTCGACTGTTGGTACGAAGCAATCGGAAAGTAATAAACGGACATAGCTCATGTAGTTTGACTGGAATTGCCTGACGTTTGCCATTTATCACAAATGGCTCATAGAGAACGCCCCGTTCAAATCTTACTCGCAAGAGAATGGATCGGCTATCAGCAAGGAACACTTCTCTTGGTAAAAATGGTTGTGCGCTAAACTTTAGCAAACTCTTTCCTGTTCCTTCTGTGCTTGCCTTTTATGACTTTCTGATAGCAACGTTAATGCATGAGTTATTATAGCTGGTACGGAATGAGAGTGTGACAATTCGTTAGCGATAGCAGTTTGATTGCAATAAACATAATAGTATTTACAATGTGATAGATATACATAGGTATTTCGCATAGTGCTAATTTAGGTATATAACTTAGTAGTATAGTATTTTCTCTCTTATCTCATATCTTTTTCTTTTTTTTTTATATTAATAACATATAAATAGCAGTAAACGTTAGTGGTCACCGATCACACGTATAAATCTTTTTTTTTTTCACTCATTCTCTCCACTCATTCGCACACGTGTCTTATGTACTACGAGAAATCACTCGAATCGTCTTATAAATCGACTATTGATTTGGGTTAAATTATCAACGAATTATAAACCTATTAAAAATATTCACAATGGTCTAACATACACGACAATAGTATAACTATTTAAATTTTATAGATACACCATTTGATATTGAGTTCGTAATCGCCGTTTCTCTTTTTATCAATACAATTTCACTATGTATAGTTAGTGGAGAATTTTTACATTTTTTTTTCCTCTTTAAAATGTCTCGTTCTCTTCGACGTGGGCGTCGACTATTGCATCACGTCTGTAATTTTTATTATCGGTATTTTCGATGTTCAGCATATTACAAAGTAACGTGGCTGTTTATTTTTTAAAATTAATTTCTTTAAATTTTGGATATTAGTTACGTCTTGCGAGAAGGCAAACGGAATTTTTTATTTAGTGCTGAACGAGATACGTTCTCATGAAAAATGAATTGCTTCGATTTTAGATTCACGTGAAGCAACGTAAAGTTGCAAGTGTGCAAGAGATTTTTTTTCTAAAAACTTTCGTTCAACGAAAGATCGTGTAACAATATTTTTATTTATCTACTAATGACTTTATCGAATAATGAAGAGAATCAATAATAGCGATTTTAGAATTCGAAATGGTACGACGTCGCTCTAATTTCAAGTAGTCACCGGTAGTCATAAGGTGTTGATTGATGTTCATTTTGAAAAAGTAAATATGTTTTAGGACTCCGTGCTTCGTGTCTACAGATTTACTGTCAGATGGTCTTCGCTTCTATGAGGGACTTTTAATACGGAAATGACGGAGGTACAAAAAGGATCAGGTTCCACATTATAATTGCCTGACGTTCATGAGAATTCTAATGGCTGCGCTCACTCGTAACAGCTGTAATTTATTATTCGTGTTGGACTTGTATTTTCCAGAAAATTTCTGAGACGCTTCCGGCTGGCAGAGGCAAGAAGCCATTTCAGACGGTGGCTTAAAGCCAAAAAGGTACTGCGACTTGTGTCCAACGTCGCCGTGCTTCTTCTGGATGACTTATTAAATTCGATTTCGGCAGGAAAGTAAAGTGCGCAACGAACAGCGTCCTACGATTGCAGACGGAAGTGTCAATTGTCTCATATTCTTATTTTTCATTCTGATAGCGAGTATGCAATTCCTTTTGAGAAATATGAAATCTGTCATTACCCTATGAGATATTGTGACGTCATCGATTATTAATGAAAATCAGTATAACAAATTGAATGAACCGTTTATACAATTCAGCTAATCCTTGACGTACAATCTTTTTTTTTTTTTGAATTATTACTTTTCGATTGGCACACATAGATATTGGTACGCTCATCGTTAGCTAATTTAAGGATTCCATTGACTTTGTCTCTTTTTTCTTCTTCCTATTTTTTAATGTGTCCCCTTCCACCACTTCGCATAAAATATGCGTCCGCCAATCGCTGTTACGAACGAATCTCCTAAAATCAATGACCTGATACGATGAAGATGAATTTACAAGTATTTCAGCGATGATAACATGATAATATCAGTGGGAAATATTCCTTTGACAATTCCATTGAAGAAAATAGAGCTAGGATGTCTCTCTCGTGTTTCCTAGTCATATACGATTCAACGATTTAACGTTGCCGCTTTGAATGATTCCAGATGATACCGTGGACAAGGTTCCTCGCGAATCGAGACACCAGACCACTTGAAGCGATGCTGTTCCTCCAGCATCCATGTCCCACTTGAAAAACTAGCCGAGCAAAAGGCAAATGGCGAAGAGTAGAAGAATCTGGGAAGCTGAAACAAAAGAAGAAAAAATCCATACTCGTATATAACGTGTGTGGCTGCGTGCATGTGCGCTATCTAACGGTAAATATTTGTCTTTAAAATAACAAGCTGCCATTAGACTCCATCAGATACGTCAGACTTGCTATTATAATTTGCTATTGATATTAAAGGTTCTGACGTATTCTGTCCTTCCACTTCGCTATTTGGTTACCGTGAGGTAACATGTGTTACATGGTTAAAAGTTGCCCCTTGTAATACTGTACAGTCAATTATAATGTAAGGTATCCGTTGAGTATCAAAATTAAATAGGCTTCGTTAATGTATGAAAATCTGACTTGAGCTTCCAAATGCGTTTTAATCTCTAATATCGTTTAATGACTGCAGATCATTTTACTTTTCAGAAATCTACGCTTCAAATCTACTGCTCGCAGAGGGGTGCTCTCTGCCATTAAATATCATCCCTAGGCAAGTTCATAATGGCGCAAACCGATATGGGGTATGTTTCAGTGTAACGTGATCTCGTATCAAAGTCAACGTTACTAAGTTATCTCGTAGCTCCAAGGATCTGCTTGTGATGATAGCCGTGATTCGCGATGTTAATTACCGCGAGTTTTGGACTACGGTAATTTTCCCGAAACTCTCCTGAGAGATATTATTTTATAACCACAATCAACAGAATCGTGATGCGAACTTTCTATGTGTCTTCTGACTTGAAACTATTCGAAGTGAGCTTGTAATATTAAGCATTGACTTTATTCTCTTGCTACGATAATATTCTTGGAAACTATCATTATTTATAGAATTTATTTGTCTGATAGTTCTTGCCTTATCGATTTCTTTATCAGCTTTCTCAAATAGCTTTGGTATTATGCTTTTCAACTAATCACAGTGATAAATCAAGCAATCTAGATTCGTTTCATCGTTGTGCTCATAGGATTAAAGTTTGATTGGAGATTTACTGTAAAAATTGATACTTTGAAGTTGAATATTTGACGCCAGTTGAATGACTGGGGATTTTCATTATAGACGTTCGGCTTTATAATCTGAACGTGAATAAAAATTTGGACGTATGATAGCAATAAATATTTTTGTTCTACTATTATTAATATTAATTAGACTCTGATTAACAGCCTTTCTTACTCAATTTAGAGCTTTGAGTCACTCGCTTCAACTTGGCTACCTGTTGATCTCGCGATTCTACTAATTGGATTATCCTCAATTTTGCAAGAATTTATTACAGTATTATTTATTAGCAGTAACATAGAAGAACTAATAATACTAAAAATTTTCGTGGCCGCAAAATTTTATTGTGTAGTAATAAATTCAGTGTTTAAGTAAAGTATGCAGGATGTGCAGTTAACACAGTTTCAATTCTCCGGAATTCAGTAACTGAAAAATACTCGAATATTTTTCGCAAGAAGATAGTATGAATATTAATGTCACGATTGCTGAATATTATTGACTTTTATTGGCCGTACAAATAACAAATATACAAAAAAATATTCGCCACATTAATCTCACTATTGAGTTTGAGCAAAACTTTGGCAGAGAACGAAATTAGCGTCAGAGACAGTTGAGAGTAAATAAAACAGTATATACTTTCTAGAAAAACAAAAAGAAAAATTGAAAATTTACTTTTTCGTATTGCTACTTGATAAGTATCCGACTTTTATGAACTTTTTCAAAGGTAAACTGTAACTGCGTTACGTGGAAGTACGCCACGGGTTGTGCAGTATATACAGATTGTAGAAACTGTCACAAAATTGGGCCATGATGTATTATGTATTTTAAAAACTCAAACTATATATTTCGTTTGACATTTTAACAAGTTTCGCGCATAATTTCACAACTCGTGTCCCGTAGCTATTGCGAGTACTCATATATTTTCATTGCGGATTTATTTCACTGTTTATTTTATTACAACGTGACATATTTTACTACCTTATTTCTTTCTTTTTTTTTATAGATCATCAACAGTCATCCCTATTGCCTTACTGGAAGTATGACTAGGCATCAGACGTCCTCCAATCACGAAATTCTTCAAAGATGTCGCAGTGCGTTTTAACGCGTGGAAAATACGACGTGGATATCGCAGACGCCTTTTAAAATTTGCTGGTGAGTGACCCACTTTTATTTTAGAAGCAACGTTCCTTCTCATGTTTATCCCCGTATAACGGCGGTCAATGATCTCACACAGGCTCGTTCCTATCAACTTGATGACGCGTCATCGAGATACTTTGGCGAAAAAAGTGATTTCTTGGCAAGATAAAGATTCCGTTTGCTATGGAGTGAAGCTTCGTTTGTGGGATTTTTGAAGTTTTTGACAAACAAAATTATACATCAGATACAAGACTTGACAAGTAAGTATACTTCGTGCAACGTATAGCATTGATTCCTTGTGGTAGTATTGATACGTCATACGTGACGATCGACAAATATATCAGATCTATATTAAATTCTCGTGGCGAAACTCCTTTCGCTTATTGATGGCCGAATAGAATATGGTACAAAAGGTTCAATGAAAAAATTCTTCTGAATTCAGGTCATTCAATATCCCTGGAGCATTGAGATAGAACCAGTAACTGTCCCATTGGATGGGATTTAATTCAGGGATGCTGGAAGGTACGATTTGATCGACTTATTCGATATGAACCAATAAGCAAATAGGAATCACGTAACATACTTGTATTTTATTGCAAGTAGAGAAGAAAGGGTTGAAATGTTTGCTTTTCGAGATTGTTTCATTAATCAAAATAACAAGTAATTGAATAGCACTGTTCTCATTGCCTTGTATGTCCCTATAGGGAATAACGTGACTCTATGCACGTTCCGGAGCAGTGATGCTGTGCGAATCTGCACGTAGCCGTTTCGCTAACTTATTATCCCCTCTCTATCGCATCCTCACGCAATACCCTTACCCGTGGTCAGGATCGAATGTCTTACCCGTCCACGTCGTGGCATTGCTCAATGGCGTCTTCACCGTGTAATTGTCCTCCTCGTCCAGAAATACGTAACTTGCATTAAAACCAGTCCCGTCTAACCTGTCGTTACTTTTGAACGTCACACGAAAGAACTTCCGGTCGCTCTCTACATCGAATTCCTTGAGTTGTCCACAGTGTCTGGAGTACTTCCGGTCTTTGCCCATGTAATTCGAAAATTCGACAAAATCGCTAGCCGACACTGCTTCGCATCTGTAAAATCAAAAGGATTCAAATAACATATTTTTCTCATTTCCTTTTCAATGATAAACAAATATATCACGTCAAGAGAGTATATTAATTCAACCACGATGATGTTTATACAAAAAATTAATAATCAAAGCTTCCCAGTAATTTCTCTTCCATATTCCAAAAATATTCTCAAACTAATTTCATTATATAGTACCATACCAAGAGAAACTAATTTTTATATTTTTTGACACTTCAGATCGTATCCTGAAACATCCAGTTCATCGAGTTCATCTATAAGAAGTCACCATGAGCTACAGAATCCGGCACTGTGAAATTTAAACTCTCTCTCTCTCTCTCGTTCGATTCTCCATTCAATGGAAATTGGAGAATAAGACTTAATCGGTCATTCAATCCTGGAAGCTGCATCCAGAAAATCTGAAGGATTCTTCTCTACAAGGTATTCCACGTATGACTGTCCCGGGGTAAGTCATAAATTCCTTTCATGGCCCTCGAGTGGCAGTTCCATAAGTAATCCAATCTTGGGTATTCCGTACATAACTCCCGTCACATGCATACATGTACGTGCAGTTGCGCTGAAACGTCCTGTACCTTTTCCCAACCGGCAATCACGTCGCACCTGAATCGGTCTGTATCCCGGATTCTAGTACCACTTCGGAGCCTTCCATTTTATTAATATATTACTCTGCAAAAATTCATGTTTTCCAGTCGATATTCAGAGAATATGCCTGGACTCCTGAGGTTGTAAATTTTCAACGCTGTATCAACTATATATCTAGTTAGAACTGCCCACGTACGCGTTCCATTGTTACTTTGCGTGAGCTACAGCCATTATACAGATTTTGAGAATAATAGATGTATATCGATCAATCAGAAGAGATCAATATATATGTAGAGGATTTATGGGAATTATTGAATATCCAATTTCATATTATAATACTCAATTATTTTTTATCCGTATTGTTCACTGGTCTTCCTAGTCGTTCAATTCTCTTTTCCTATAGTCTTGAAAACAGATGGTAATGGATAAATCTTGTATAGATAATTGACAGCTGTCTTGCTCATCATTTTCATAATCTGTTGTACAGTCAAACGTTTCTGATCTCGAAGAAATTATTCTAACCAAAATTCTCGTAGTGTCACGTCAGAACGGCCTGACACGTTAGTCACGTAACGTAGAGGGTGATTTAATTGATTTATGTTCGATCAAATTTATTTGAACCTTCTGTCACTGGGGGAACCGAAGCATGACGTTTTGACATCAATTATTCGATATACCTCAATCCCGACAAGATTCAATATACATATAGATAAAAACGTTGAAAATACATAAAAGGCTTTAAAGCACGGAATATTTGTGAACTTAAAAGAGATGGCCGTGAAATGAATGAATAAAAAATCCACCAAAGGGTAAGATCAAAGGAGAAGACCCATAAGGAGAATGCCCATCAAAATTACAAGGTGGCGAATTCAATAAGTTCCAGTTTGAAAAATCAATGCAATACCGGAAGCGGAAGTTGTGCCTTGCTTATCTCCGCTTTATGATCACTCCGAAGCGCGTCTCTAGGGATTCTAATTATCCTCGTTACTAAAATGTCCTCAAAGGTATAAATTGTAACGTGCTTCCTGTTTTAACCCACGTCAACCCTCTTCGACTTCGTCCCACTTTTGTTTAATCTATTCAGTAGCCACCAGGGCTTCGGTCTGATTTCCTGATGCTGTACGGTAGGTAATTATACGTGGAAAAGGCCCGGTTAGGTTTGATCGAGACTTCACATTTTAGGTACCCAAGTACAATGTCACTCGTACTTGGGAATATTTTAATAGACATGAGAATTTTTATTTTTCACTTTCTTTAGACACTCTCATAGGCTGCTGCACTATTTCTTTGGGTCCCTTAATGAAAATAATAAGCGTCTACTGCTTAGTGAATTTTCAATGCTACCAAACAGTGTCACCGCTACAGGAAATTGCGAAGAATGGATGCGACGCTGAAACCTTGGGTAAACTTACGGTAAGACTCCTTCGACGTCGAAGTAGTTGAAGTGGAGGTGAACCCTCTCATCCGGTTGACCGTGGAAGAAGTAATAGCACTCGGTGTCACGTGGATAAAATCCTGGATAATTTGGCGATGCGAAGGTACCGTTTCGTGTTTCGTTACTATTGAAGACGAAGGCGCACGGATATTCTGGCAGTTGTCGCCCTGTCGTTATGCCAAAGTCTGTGAAACATATTTCATTTCATTGCAATGGCCGATTGGCGTGACTGCGTCAGAAGAAAAATATTTTAATTAATTCAGAAGAAAAAAAACTTTCTCACAACTTTACAACGCTTGTTGGTAGTTTCCATAGTTATCTTTGTGATTGGTAAAGATTTTTAATAAAATATATTGTATTGTATATCTTTCAGGGATGCAGTTTACAATTAGTGCAAGAGTGACTGGTGCGATTTCGTATTCGTTGCACTTTGGTGCCTTTCTGAGATCTTTCTCAACGTGGTGCAATAAGTTTCTGGTTTTACGAGTGGGGTCTCTGTGTAAGGCCACAAGAACTCATAAAAATGTGCCCGACCCTGTAAACCTACTAAGTTACCGCTGCATTTGCCAGATGCATTTTCACTGTCTTAAGCACGTTTCGCTACTTTGTTTATTTATATTTTCCTCATTTTCAATTAAGACACAGTGTTTATGGCGAGAAGATTTTTTAATGCGTTGTAATAGATATTACTTGAGATTAATATCCTGGACGACGTTATAATTTATTATTTTTAATTTACTTCTGTATTTCTGGTATAGAAAGAAATATACTGACTGACACATCGATCATGAAAATCATTAGTTAGGTTAATGTGGTATTATTAGGTTGAACTTTTTTTTTCGTTTCAAACTTTATTTCTGCTCTCACGCGAATCCAAAGCGAAGCAGCTGATTTCGTTAAAATTGAAATCGTCATATATTTTCATATCGAAATTATTCGTCTGCCAGCGAATATAATGGAAATCATTCAACCTGCTGGAAAGCGAGTAAAAGTTTAATGCTCGATAAATTGCGTATATTGTATCATAAATCCATGATATATGTGCCCTTTGAGAAGTCTGATTTATGATATGCTATCCTAGCGCGAAATAAATACGTTTTTGGCTATTCGATCAGCGTGAAAGAGTTGTAATTTTTATAACCGTAGGTAACTGTAAAATTGTATCGTTTTAAGGCTTATGAATACATAAGCAACGTTGACGCAATACAATAAATGACTTATAAATGTTACTACTGTAGTACCATAAAAAAAAAAAAATAATATAACCCAGGGAACTATAAAACATTATAGTAAATTGAAAATGGCATGATTCATCAGCTAAAAATTTTTCGCAAACTCTTTACACGGAAACGCTCGGGCTTAACGAGTATTCATTTGTTTCAAAGTTCAACGTGATACTGACATTTAAAAATGTTCCAATGGCAGTATAGTCACAAAGTTCGTTATACCAGTATCATGAGAAATGACCGTGCAGAGTAAAAATGTTAAAGCATCAAACACGAAATATCTTTAGATACGTTTCAAAAGTATCGATAGTTTTAAGGCCCAATGTTATTTCCCTCACTCGAAATTTTACGAAGTGTTTTACGGCACTGGAATCGCGTATTCAATTTTTACGAGAACACTGAGTCTCGGCGAGTAGCTAATGTCCTTCGAAAATACTTGCTACAGATATCAATGTACTTTTTTTTTTTCTCATGCGTCGTAACGCGTCACCAGCAGTAAAAATAATGTCACGTGTTTACGAGGAATTTGATTTAAGAACAGATTATATTAGGTACGAGATAAATTTTTACATTTTAAGATTCCATTTATGATCAGGCATTTCATTCATTTTCTTATTTACGTAATATTTTTACACTGTGTTTAAATGTAGATACGATATCAATTGATTGCCAGCATTTCTACAACGCTTATTTGGTCCTTGGGTAAGTGGTACGATATTAAAATTTTATTTTTTTTTTTTATTGAAAAGTAAAATATTTTTTCTCTCATTTATTCGTGACTATCGACCGCGAACTTATCTTGAATTTTATTGGTATTTTAGGAAAATTTTAATCCTATTTAAATCTCGATTTATATTAGCAAAGCGGGGATGTTATTTCAGGCGGAAGACTTGCCCTTGTTTACCCCAGTGTACTTCTACTTACTGTCTCTCGCACAAAGGAACTGGAGTTCAGGCAAACGAGTTTATCAAATTTTACCCGCAAAAGGGAAAATAATTAACGCTGCTTCTTCAGCTTTCCGAGTCGTGCAATTCTATGTCTTGACATTAAACTTTCTTCACTTTCGTTATTAACGCTCTGAACGCGCGTACCGAGCATTCCCCAGATCTGTAGGTATTTTTGTGCGCGACCACATCGTTCTTGGATTATGGTCCAGAAATGGATGCTGCGTCCCATTAAAGTAAATTTAATTGGGTGCATAATGTTTATTCGAAAATTAATATACATATTTTACTCATGAACAATTAATGCTGAAAAAATCATATTAATTGTTCAACGGTGGATAAATATTTGTATAAAATATTCCAAATTTATGTTAAACCCAAAAATGTTTATTGGATTGGAATTATTTTTGCTTCCCATTTTGTTCCAGTATACGATTTATACTGAGAGTTGGGTCATTCGTGTGTGAAGTGTAGAAATGTTTGTATAAACAGATGAATAAAGAAGAGTAAGAAGAAGAAAAAGTGGAAGGAAAAAAAATGCGAAAACCGATAAAGCACACTTCGTTTGGCCAACGCATAAAACTCCTTTATGATGTTGCAAAGAATCGTAAGAGTTTTAGATCTTGGTTACCCAAGACGATGTAGTTACGAACAGGAAGAAAACCGACGTAAAGGAAATATTATCAAGACAGATGATAGATTTTGGATGACATAAAAAAAGGAGAGAGAAAACGTCGATATTGAAATCATTAAGCGCCTCGTTAAAACACGTATCGCGTATTTGATTGCCAATAAAAATGTTTCGTGCGATAAGGAACTATTTGGCATTGTAAAATCTATTGTGCGTGGGCAAACAAGATTTCAATTTTCGGACAGCACATTTCTGTCTATCCTTTGTTTTTCCTGTATCAATCGAACTCTCCGTCCAATATCGTACATTGCATCGATCCAATGGACAAATAAAGTCGAACCGTTTCTATTTATTCTTGCTGCACTCGGTAGAAAACATCAAAAGGCTCGGTCGAGATTTTTTTTAAAATTTACACTCTACACTATTGAGTGAAATATTTTCAAAAATTCGTAGAATTGTTAAAATACGTTCTATGTCGAGTCCTGATATATATTTATCCTTTGCAAGGGTATCTTGAACCTCTCAATGTTATACCCAGTGTTTGAAAAATATTTAAAAGTTTTAATACTTAATTTTGCCCTGTTTTCAGATATATCCCCCACAGTTTTAGTGCTCATCGAGAACTTATGAAGCGCGAACGACCGTTCGGAGTCGTTAAAGAGGATATTTGGGCTGCTTCGAAACTTGGAGCTTTCTCATAACGCCTTGGGTGCTTTCGAAGGATGGAGTGATTGTATGAAGAAGTCAACGGGCGTATACTTCTCACGGTACGCGTGGCGATTTCGTAAAATTGATAAAGTTTCGCGAGAACTTTTATAATACCCGACCGGTTGAAGAATTTTCAACTATATACACGAGGAGCTGGCAATTTATGTTCCACACTGCAGTTCCTGCGATACTGCGCCACGGCTACTCCCGTATCTCTATAGCCACCATAGATAGAAGAGGAATACGTGCTGTAGGAGTACCTTGTTACATGATGTAATATTTTACCTAGTTACATGCGTATATAGGATACACACATTGGTATATAATGTATGTTCACAGTACATCTACGGCTCGTAAAATGTTGCCTGATACAGAAAGGATACACAGGATATTCAATAGGTACTAGGATGTTATTTTTGCTTGTTGTATCTTAGATACTTGGGGAAAAAAGGTTGTGCTTTTTCAATCCATTATAAAAAAATTTGACTTTTTATCAGCTCGTCAGTTGGATCTCGTGCGATACAATGATCCTCATGGAAATAAGTTTCTGTGGATTTTTTGTTTCTTGGAAAATCTGTCAGCTGCAAAGCTGTCGGTTCCAGTCGTTAGAATTGATACTGGAGACAGACAGTCTGATGTGAATACTTTCTTATTAATGAATTTCTGAATTAATATTTATCTTTTTGAAGATGGACGCAACTTTTTATACTGTAAAGTTTTCGAGTATTCTTATGCTTGGTGAATGTGTGTAGAGTAAATTCTTCTAAGCTACGTAGTTGCACACGCGGAATATTGGGTCGGATGCTGGAAGGAAATTCAAGCAATATGATAAACGGCACTGGCTAAGATGTATGACCATTGCGAATAGAATACTTAACGGGAAATTGAAATTTGGACACTGGATTCGTACTGTGAAACCGGCATTTTTGGTATGTCGTAATTTACCTTGCGATTTGATCTCCATGAGAATCGTTGCGTATGGATAACTTAATTTCGTGCAGCATCATGTATCATTTATCTTGGACAATACAGATAGATACGTAATGCATCAAATGATTTGTGGTTTAACAATGCGTTCAAATAATGTTTCATACGGTCGGTCATTTCTGATAGGGATACAAGCAGCTTTCATTCCTGCATGAAATTGCATTAGTTGTAGCCAGAGTGGTATCTTTTTATTTTTAAGATCTATAATGGATTTAATCACTGAAGTGGAAGGAACGTAAATGACTTTTTCATCAGCTAATCTCCGGTAATCCGTAACATTGAACGCAATGGTAATTTGAGTAAATAGGAAATTATTTATAGAAAAAGAAATTGTAGCAGTCGTGGAAATTTATCTTGAATTCAAAGTTTTCATTTTCTTCAGATTATTAAGTATTTATTGGTTTCCAGTTTATGGGTGAATCCATCGTGTTTCTTACAGCGTACAGAAAGCGCAGGGATTCCGATATCTCGTAAAATTGTAAAAGAATTCACGAATAAGTAATCCTGAGCGAGGTATCTGAAATTCTCGGTACTTTACTCACTTTCTGTGAAGGAATACGTGGCTTTGAATCCCTTGGAGTATCGGGACGACGTAACTCCGCGAAATTCAAGAAGAAGTCTGGGTCCATTGCTCATGAGGGGAGTGGGAAGTGTCGTCCCACAGAAGGAATCGATTTTCTCCATTTTCCCATCTATGTGAACAAACGCGACCAGAGAATCGACACCGTCGCATCTGTAATTAAAAGGACGAAAAATTCTTAACAGACAGGTTCAAGTATTTCCTTTTCTTCTGTTATGAACTCTTTCTTTGTATATACTCGTATCTCTTGTATATGTCACTTGTCCATTTTGTACGTTGTTGATAATTTTCTTATGCTTTTCCAGAGGAACGAGGATAAGTACTTGCACGAAGTTTCTTCGTCCCTGCTGCTCTAACTGGAGTTTAAGTATCTCAGGAATTCCTTGAGTTTGCAAGTGGAATGTTCGGGCCGAAGGAAAGTGTTTTTAGGAGGCAGGAGGCCTTGAGAGAAAATCGAAAAAGTGGTAATATTTTACAGAGTAATTTGTCCAAGTTCGAGGGCGAATTATCTCCTGTCGGAAATCGTTACCGTTAACGAGCGCAAACTGATGGGTACAACCAAGGAGTGGATAACGTTGGCGTTTCGGATAAGATTTCTTACCCGTAATGAGGATCTAATGAAATCGTTAACGACTATCCGAGAGGAAAGAAAAAAGCTGGCAAAGTTAATATTAAACTTCCACGAGTTTAATAAAGCAAATGAAGAAGAAAAGCAAGTGGCATCTAACGCCTTTTATTAAGGTATCCAAAGAAAATTTCTTATCGCAATGAAATATCAACGATCGATCAAGGTTCCTCGCATACTCTGATAAACTGCCAGGGTTGATAAAAATATTTTCTAAAAATCCATGAATATCGTAAAAGTCATATTAATATTCCTCTATGCGTGAAAGTCAACTACCGGCTTATCTGATTCTTGACGATAATACTAAATCACAACGATTGCCAAGCTGCTTGCATAACCATAATATGGAAATATATTCAAACTGAAGATTCCCAGTTTTCGACAAATGTATCTCTGAAACGTGTCCCGTATATCCTGGCTCTCTGCTACAAATAGTATCAACGTCTTGGAAAAAGTACAAGACTGCATTTCCTGGAGGATGACGTTGCTGCGAGACAACAATTTTGAAATATTCTATCCAGCATGCGTCTCAAGATATAATTTGAAAATTAGTATGGAAATAGTTGTAATTGTATAGTTGAATGATTGTAATGAGAAAATGATAAAGGAAGCAGCATTTAAATTTGTCTCAGCAAATATAAACTTGTCCAATACCTTTGGTATTATTTATTTTTGAAGTATGTCTTATCAATGAGGAGATATCCAAGCAGATTTCATTGTGCAATAAGGAATTGAAAATCCCCTAGGAAAACACTTAGCATCGCAGAGTCTAGAGGTTTTATCGAACAAGGAAAATCATTGAGTTTACAAAACGAATAAAACGCAGTCTTTGGCTTCCGTCTCGAGGAAAAACACGTCGACGCCATTTCCGAGTTTGAATTGTTGGCTTCGTTTCAATCTCCTTCGAAAGGAACCGCTCTTATTCGATCTCCGCCTTGTGCCTTCAAGAGATTTCGATAGAAATAGGCTATAAGGGTTCTACAGGAGGGATATTCTTATTGTCAGTAGGATTTAAATAGAAAGTCCCTCGAAGGTATGGGAAAGCCATTCTTCGACCATTATTGATACATGGCCATTGATAAAGTCCGATATCGGCTCTCAATATTCTATAAAAATATTTATTAGCTGAGATGACATCCTAGGGAATTTATTTCTTTAAGGGGCCAACAACGTTTTAGGTGCTCGAGACAGGAATAACTTGAATTAAAATTATTTATTAAAACATTTACCATCGTACTTACTCTTTGGGATCATCCGTTTGATGATAGAGATTGAAATCTTGAAAAACCACTTGAACCCGTTCTTTGCCCCGACCTTGAAAATCATATCTGCAATGAGCCCGAGCCTGATAAGGATTCGGATAACCTGGCGACGTAACAATTCCAGTCTTGGTCGTATCACTGTTATAGATCATATCGCACGAGGAGGCTGAAACAAAAATAAAAAGTATATATTAATGACAAATTTGAAAATCATCAAAAATCGACTTCCAGCTGCTAGATGCAAGAGGTGTCTTCATTGAATATCATAAAGGGGTTTTGATTGGTAGCAAATTATTTTTCTATTATATTTAAAATAAATGCGAATCAAATTCAACGAACGTATTCATAAAGGTTCAAGTATTTCTACGTGATACGATGCCCCAGTTTGATTTTTTAAACAAAATTTTGATTTACCATATACACACCCCCTTTGTAACAGGGTCTATTACTCCGTATGAAATTGCCCGTATAGAAATTTATTCATTACTCGGATGCTTTCAATCCCCAGCTTATTTATACAAGAGCGCCGCGGCGTCTGTGTCGATATGCCCGTAATTCGAGAGAGCCGAGAGAGTCGAGAGTATAGGTTGGTGGTTATATGACAAGGATTTAATACGCGAATCCACGAAAAGGTGCTGTATTACAGCGAGGTCGGAGCTCATGAATAAAGTATGAGTATTTGCATGGTGCTCTTGGCCAGCAGCCGCTTCTTATTTCGAACTTCTTGCGTCTGCTAGCTTATTAACAATTTTCCTCCCCTCAATATTTCTTTATATATTTTTTTTAATTAACCAAAATATTCCCACGTACGTAGTATCAACGTGTACACACAGACACACATATGGTGTTTGATCAATGATACATACTATAAAAAAAAATCCAAAATTTTCATTATTTCTTACAGTAATGGCATTCGATTGCATTGTTAGCATTGTTATCATTGCAATCTCACTAAGGGTGCCCATTATTATTATTATTGGAAATGTAGAACGTATCACGTCATTCATATCAGGTCACGGTCAACGTGTAAACTAAAAACTCTTATTGTTCTTCGCTTCGTTAAACGTGAACAATGGTTGCTATGAAATTCACAATCCTCACTACGTTTCCTTCTAAATTATCAACAGAGCCTTGGTAACTCAATACGAGCCCATAGGAGTGCATCTGTTTTAATCAGACTCCAATTTTAATCCACATCGATCAAAAGACTAAACGTCATAAATGGTTAATCAGAGTATAATAATGATAACGGATTCGATGCTGTCTTATCATTACTTTCACCTGTAAATCCTTCCATTATTAAAGCCTTAAATTTAAAGGCCGTGTCGTAGCTTGTTATTTCGTTCTGCTTATTTCACAAGTAGTCACTCGACCCTTTATGCCTGCGATAATTAATTCAGGACTACCGTCGAGTAGTGGATTTTCCGTAAAAGATAAAAATTTTGTAAGCACGAAAGCAATAAAAAAAAATTTAAACAAAATGAGCAAACCTATAAAAAGCGTAGATATTTTTAAGTTAAATAATTATATTACCTCTCGTGGCGCGTAACCAGTGTAATCATAAGTTTTCACACAAGACCAATAATGGAGGCACAAAGTATTGGCCGAGCATTATTTTGTTCCTTGTGGGAAATTGGCCTTTTCATGTTTTACTTATTTCTCGGTATTATTTTTGTTCGGTAGGTTGCGTCCCGAATGAGCAATGCTGCAGAGTTCTTAAATGCTGTTTGAGGGAGCAGTAACGTGAGAGTAAGGGAGGAAAAAAAACGGGTTCGAGTAAAATGGGGTAAACGTTTTAATTTACATTCATGAGGCAGCCAGTCCAAAATTCTTAGCTTTACCAAGCATTCGCGTTTCGCGCTGTATATTTTTGAAAAGCAGGTAATACTGGAGTTTACTAAGAATTAACACGTGGTCAAGATATATATTAATGTTATTGATATATTTGATTGCTGTGTAATATTATATTTTATTTTGAAATAATTTCTTGCAATGTAATATAATATTGAACGTGCAGTTTGCAGTGGGCAAACGGTATCAATGACTGACGTTTAAACGTTCTCTCAAAGCTATTGCATTCCAAGTTGCCGCAAATGCGGATTTACTAATTAAACGGCGCATTTACCCGAGAACAGTCGAGTCAGCATACCCAAGCGTTGCGGCATTAATAATTTAGGGGCAAAGTTCATTGAAATTAATTTGAACGCCATTCGCGGGTTGCATCTTGCCAGTGTGTATAACTAAGGTCCCGTTTTCACGACAACGTCAGAGATTTAGCAGCCCCCTATCCGCGGCGGTGTCTCAGGTCTCAGCGAAATTATACAACCCCTTCTGTATCACGAGCAGTGACTACCAGATTTTCTGACATGCGATATCTCGTGTTTTTGCTTTGTTTCTGCTTTCCCTTTTTTATTTGCGAAAATAAAACGAGACAGCGAAAAAATATATATATATATTGTCCTCTGGTAAAAATGGGCTAGCACGTTCTACCGGTCTGGCGCTGCGATATAGGGAATTTAATGCGAAAACTGTCGTGTGCGAATTATCTGTTGGGGCTTGTTAACTGGGTTTAAAAAAGGGCGAATTCAAAAACAGGGGAAAAAATTTCATATGGGTTTCAAGCATTATGTATGTTATGTAATTTGTAATTAATTTCATCCCGCTGGACCGTCAGGAGCATCGTTATCCTCTTGGATCAATTTCGTGTCAAGTAGCTGTGTTGGGTACGCGTGTTACGTCACAAACATATACACTGCACCGGGTGAAAGGTTAATTCATGTCCCAACTGCGTTCCTCGCATTTTGCATTCCATGACTATCTATATGCGTACGTATAGACGTAGGACTAGGGTTGGGCATTTTGGGTGTTCGCTACCAGCGGGGACGTATCTCATGAAATTTATGATCCCTTCGCAGAGATTTCTTATTTACGTAAATTTCGAGTTTCGCGACTGCTAAGAAGTTCGGCTGTCGGATAAAAAGAATCCCGATAGCAAGGTAAAGGTATTGGACGCGAAGGAAAAAGTAGTCGACCGGGTAATATATTTTTGGCAATTTTTCGAGTTTTATGAAAAATGAAATATTTGGTTTTTTTAAACACGAATTGAGGTGTATCGCTTAGTAAAAGGATCAAGTTCATGACGTCATTAAATCTTACTTTACCCATAAGGATAAAAAACATTTTTATATTTATCGAGGCAACATTATGCTTTGAATATTTAATTATAAGGTTCAACATAAGTATTTCTATGCGCTCGTACGAGTCCCCTGTTGAAATACGTCTTTTACGCAATTTACTCGCTCAACTTTTAGGCTCGAGCTTGCACTTCGTTCTTTTTTTTCTATTTATCCCTGCGAGGCAGCTGAAAAACATCTCTCCTCGCAGGGCTAAAAAATTCGAATTAAAGGAGAGACTCTCGGATATTGCTCGGTGGTGGATTTCTGTTTTAACATGTATGACGTCAGGGGTATAATCCGAATGCAATGAAGAAGAGAGGAAACGAGAAGGGTCCATTCGGGATTTTTGGTCCAGGAATAAAATTCTGTGGGCGAAGATGAAGAAGGAAATCGAGTCACTTAACGTAGGTGGAAAATAGGCCTGTCGTTAATTATGACTGTGATATATTATAATAAGTACATGCTGAGTTATCAATTTTCTTTTTACTGAAATTCGTATAGTACATATTAAAAATATAATATTAATATATAAATTCTTCCAGCTTACGCGATGACTGAAAATTCTCTGCTACATTCTGGTGCGTACTATATTGTAATTCAAGTTAATTTGCTAAATTAATTGTTCATGGTATTAAAATTAATTCCAGGACGCCAGTGGGATGCTGCAATATGAAAACCAGCTTGCAGTAATTACTGAGAGTTTTGCTTATTCTCAAACAGCGAATGAGAATAAATGTCAACAATGCTATTTGGCTAACAATGTGTCCGCGTTCCACGTGTGTTTTGCGATGCAGGTAATACTGATCGATACAGAGCGTACCGCAAATACGTCTTTCTATACAGGGAATACATTGTTTAATGACAATTTCATTGTCGTACAGATACACGTGCAAAGGGGGTGCCGCCTGCGTATCGTGATTTATTGATTGAATAAAGATCACACATGATGTATTATGGTTATATCAAACGTAGTGTATTTTTCATAATTGTGCGAATATTGTTAGAGTATGTAAATATTATATTACTAATATAGATAAAATAGCATAGCGTATATCAAGTTTTATGCGAAATGCTTAGATCTTAATATAAACTTAAATCTTGTTAATTTTAAGATCTGACGTATAGGTTAATGTAAAACTAAATCGAAAGTCGGTTGAGGAAACATTGGTTAAAAATAATTATTCGCTTCTCCATAAATAATCCAAGAACGTGAGCTGCTTTCAGATTGTCCAGTTATCCGAAAATCACAATAAACAGGCTTGCAGTCGATAAGAAAGTGATGTGGAAATTGAAAAGTCAGAAGGAAGAATCAAAGTGGAGAAAACTAAATTGAATGTGCAATGTACGTTCGTAAAGCTTGTAATGTACATGCCGAATGCACACTCCGGAAATGCGTGAGTTTGGTTTCAGTAAGCTCGCGGTGCTTTTCATCTTGACTGAAGTAGGTGCTTCGTGCTTGGGTACTTCTCTTCGTGAAGTATTGCAGCTTTAAAGTACCATAGATCCCGTGTACAGTTTGCAGTTATGACGACGCAGTGTACTTGCTATTATTTGCCGAACGAAACGCCAGGAATTAATGTCTTTTAGATAAAATAATATATTATCAAATACGTTTGCCTAGCCCATTGACATAACTGATATAGCAAACCTTGAATTTTCGAAAACTTGATTTTCACTGAATATCAACAACGTCCTTCTAGCCTGATTCAACCTGAGATACGATAGTAGTTCGTATTCAAGGTACATACACTGTATGCCATAGTATAAACTTTAGTATGATACTTGGTGACAATCAGTATGTTACGTGACAAAGCATCGTCATACGTTGTATTTTGTAGTAAGATGTTTAAAAAATAAAGTTTCGCTATTTCACATATTTACAAGTAAAAAGAAAAGGTTCAGGTAACACAAAAAGAATATCTTGTCCTTGCTTTAACTGAATATTTTACTAATTGGGCTTCGTTAGTCTCGTTCTACTTTTCCCAAGTGG